TGAATGACACCATATGACTACTTTTCTGGCTCACGAAATTAAGTGTTTTCACAGCGCTCCCAACTGTAATTCAGAGCAGTATTTCATTAATGTAGCTCACCTGATAAATTTTGAAGCTCTTCCATACAAAAACGACTTAAAATGCGCCCGATTAGTCGCAAAATGAGTGGAATCTTTGAAAACTAAAAGACAGGGCGAGCAGGTTGAATTTGACTTCAAACGAGACCTTTCCTGAGAAAAATAAACTTCTGAAAGGACAGTATTCTATTTCCCACTGACATTGAAAGCTTTTAAAGGCAGTTTGAGTTGACCTTTGAGGGATGGCTGTCGAAAGGAAACACTGAAATTACAGTGTTGTATTTCAATAAATAGCAAGGGCTTTTTATGAACACTAAATAATACTGAAGTGCAAAAAAGTACAGCTACATGACTAGTCTCGTAAAATGAGGTAAATATTGGAAGTATACGTTGGTTTTTGTATTCTTTGGTTTAAATAGTTGGAGATAAATTTGCACCATTCCTTATGAAGTTCTGAGTTGACATTTCGACACACTACTCAGGGGCAATCGAGATCGTTGATTTGAAAATCTTATAAAATTGCTATAACGAACAATATAATAACGATCTAAGGAGACAAGGATAAGCTACTGGAGGGAAAACTTTATTGATTTACATCCCAAACATGCGTATTAAAAGCTTGAAAAAAGGAGAAGTCACAATCCATGAAATTAAAAACTTGAACGCTGACAACTCGATCAGCGATGAATGAGAAGTATTGCTGTTTTACCGTCGAGCTTTACGCAACTTTCCCGCGATAAAAAACCCAATGTTTCCGCTGATGTTTATGGAAGTGGCTTCAGTCGATGGTTTGAGAACAAGTTTCAATAGTAAATGGAAAGTTTTCACCTAAAACTTTCGGGCTTCATTAAAGGTAAAAGTACAAAATTCAAATTTTGTTGAACACCCAAACTTTACAACTGAAATGGTCTGCCATTTTCTCGAACAATGTTTTTGTCATTCTAATAAAAGCTAATCAATTGGGATTCAACAACCAGCGGAAAAAGTCTACTCTTCGGAGAGAACAAAGGAAATCTATACCTCTTTACTTAAAAATTAGTTGGTAGAAAAGATAAAATGTGACAATTCTTCAAGATAAACAAAAACACACTGACGAAATTGCAAAACTGACCGGATATTATACAGACTCTGATCAGTAAGATATTTGATTCTTTGATATAAAAAAATAGAAAAGTATGATAGATAAAGACTAATCTTAACAAAAAATTGATCAGCAAGAGGTTTGATGAGCTGAAAAAAAATATAGAAAAATGTGATAGAGAAACACACAATTTCAAAAACACAAAAATGCATGGAACGATCACAAAGGACTCGAAAAACTCGGTCAAGACTGAATATGACCCAAGGAAAAGGTTCCTTTTTTCAGATTCGTATCAAAGTCAATATGAACAAGCCGGAAATTTTTGACAAAACAAATCAACCATGCGGGCGTAATGGTTACAGATCAAATAATCGGATTTTAGCAATCAAACTATATGGTTATTTCATTAGTCTTGGGGGGCAACTTGAGAAATCGTGCACTTAAAGAAAGTGAACTTCGCTCGATAAAATGAACTTGAAACGGCCACTTTTCTGTAGAGTAGAGTAGAGTAGACATCTTTTATTTATACAGGATAGCCCCTTCAGTGTAGTAAACACTGGTATCAACGGGGGTCCTATAACCCACCCATCCCATCCCAGGGGAGGACATCCATCACACAGTAATCTCGTGCGTGGGAAATTAACGTCTCCTGCCCCTAACCCTGCAGGAGACGGGACCTCCATTTATTCGTCCCTATCCGAGAAGACTAGAATATCTAACCATTTCTTGATGTTATAGAAAGGTAGCATATTCTTCTCAATTATTTTGCAAATAAGGCCCATTTCCAACCGAGATGCCTTGCGCGCCCGGATCATTTTTCATATATGAAAAATACGCTATTTTCCTCGTAGTTGCGGAATCGCTTTGATATCTTCTTCCATCTTACTAATTAGGGCTTTCAAAGTTCCATCTTGAATCATGTGCGAACAACAAACTATCGTAGTATCCATATCAGTAAATAGTTTTTAATTCTTACATGTATGACGGTGAAAAACGTCATTTGAAAAGTTGATGCCGCCGAAGAAGCGGTCTAGAGGAAGGCCGAGTCTGCCCGGCTCGGCAAAGGTTATTCGACTTCGAGAGTCTGTGTATGATTTATGGAGGGCAAGGAAAACAACCATGGGTTTCGGTAACACTACAGACAGTGCTTTTGCAGAAATGTTATTGCATTGTTCCTACGATGGAACTAGAGACTCCGGGAAGATTTTTTCGAGGTGAGAATAATTATTTGACTGATTTTTACTTGAGATCCTGAGATATGTATGTAAGCGATCTCATTCGTAGAAGTCATTATTCTATTATTGAAATGCGTAAAGTAAATCAGTTTTGGCTAATATTGGTTATTTGTTTATATTTTATTTAGTGTTGAAGCCGAACAATTTCCTTCAACATCAGGTAAGCTTTGTACAAGTTTTATACACAGACTCGATTTAAGATTTTTCAGTCTCAAATATTTAGCTGCAAATTTGTTTACTGTGTTATTCACCAAATCTTTGTTTTCCTTTTTAATAGTGTTTGTGAATGACTATCAGAGTTCACCATTTAACAATAGCGCGATTCCAAAACAAAAACAAACGACTGCAAAGGATCTCGGATGGAAATGGGCCTTTAAGACCTTGAGTGTTGGTCCGGCCGGGACTCGAACCCTCGACCTCCCGCACAACAGTCCAGCGCTCTATCCATTGAGCTAACCGGGAGGCGGTTCATGTAGACTATTCATGTTCTTAATGGCCTCAGCTGTAATGATTATTTGGAATTTAACTGTTATGGTAAAAGAAGATCAAACCATTCATTTAAATTAAGACATCCATTAGCTAGAGCAAATTGATTTTTTGCACTCATTCTTTGTTAGAGTTGTGAAACAGTGGATTGCTCTTCCTAAAGAGATAGTGCACGAACAGGATTTTAACATTTTTCGTGGTAAACTTAGAGAGTATTGTAAAATTTCGTAAAATGTTATAGATATATTTTTTTTTACGTATTTCTTAATGTCTCTTAAATTTTACATTGTAGTATAATTATATATTTTATATTTTATGTAGGGAGCGTCCTCGATAGAGATCATGAACCTCCGACGCTTCTTTGATGTATGCACACAATAAATTGATCGATTGACTTGACTGACTGACTGACCACATTTCCCATTCACGAGAATTTTGTGCATTAATCTCGTTCCACGTGACCAATTGCTCCTATCGTCAAGTAACAATATCCCAACTGACTACCCATCAGCCCCTGACAGAGAGAGACTGGACAATGCCAATTCCAAATAACCTTCGGCCTCTTTTTTAAAACGAGGTCTGGTGAGAAAACGTGAGAAAACGTGAGAAAACGTGAGAAAACGTTATTAATTTGAATGAGTGTGAATGAAAGCTTACAATAATATGAGAGAATGAACACCAGGACTCGCTTTGAAAAAGAGGCCAAAGGTAATAACTTCCGTAATACCGTTGCAGCAACAGCGAAGGCGAAATTTCGCCAGTTCTCAGACATCAAAAGCAAAATAATGCGGTTGACTAGAATTTTATGCTTTGAAGACGATTGGTCTTCTCGATGATTGCGAGGACCATTTGTTTAACATTGAAATCGCATATCCTCTACCAGAAGCACTTTTTTGTCTCGAATCGAAGCCAGTCAGTCTTCTCTAAAAATCAGATTTTTTTTAATCTAACAAGGCGAAAAAACCACAGTGCCGAAAAAAACAAAAAAGTCAGCATCTGATCTGCAAAATCACTTTGATTAATGACCAAGTAGCCTCCTACGCAAAGAGTGTTAGGCTCCTCACGTCACGCAGTCGTTCCTATGATTGCGTGACGAGCTTAACGTCTGCGTAGGAGGCTAATGACCGAGGGGATTTGCACTTTCTACTTTCAAATCAAATTAAACCAAAGGTTGTTCTTACTATTGAGCAGTAAAATATCCTTTGGAAAACTAGATCTAAAGAAATCGACTCTTTCCAAAGATTAATATTCATTTTTTTAAGCCTAGATTCCGTTTTCAGAAATCCGTTTTTGAAGGAAGGTCGAGTTCTATTTGAAACCTTTTTTGTCTAGACAAAAAAAAAAAACAAAAAAACAAAAAAACAAAAAAAAAACACCTACAAGCAATGACTTGCGAGATAAAATCTCAAGGCTATGCCTAGGTGTCGACGGCAAAAATAGGGTTCCTCGTGATCTCTTTTTATCAAAGTTGGATATCGAAAGTTATGAAACTCAGAGGCAATTTGGTTATGCTACAATCGATCTCGACGTCATATGTGCCAGAGAAGTGTGGAAGAACCTTCGATACAACACACACATATTTTTTTTTTTAAATAGAAAAAATAAAACACCTAAAGGCTTGACGAGATTAAATCTTATGGTGTCAGTTGCCTAGGTGTCGACAGCAAAATATGGTGCCTTGTAATCCGTTTTCATCGAAGTCGGATGAATCGAAAACAGCTTTTATCGAAAGATTTGAAACTCAGAGGCAATTTATTTGTCAGACTGTTGGAAGAAGCCTCGATACGACACCGAATATGACAAAAAAAATTCACAAAAAAGCAGAAAAATATTTAAAAAAAAACACACCCACACGAATTCGTATAATTTTCTTATTACCATAGTATTAAAGGATCATTTGTGGCGCGTGCTAAGGTCACTAAATTCTAATTCCCTACCTCTTTCACAGTTGTTTTATCCAACTAGTACACTGGAATATTGTGAATAATTCTTTAAGGAACATCTCCAAAGACAGTGAATTCAAATCAACGACCAGACGTTTTAATTCCATGCTAAAAAGGCCTTAAGTTCGTAACCGAGTCAACGTAGTAAAATCTAACTGAAAATAATTCATAGCTTACCCACTGAGAATGCCTGGCTCGCAGCAATTAAGATATTCTGTTGGAGAGAGAAAACAAAGAAGGAAACCACTGAATCACTAATAATTCCTCAGCTTACAAGAGTGGATGTGCTACTGATAGCATAAATCCTTGTTGCAATTAACAAGGTCAAGTAGCTGGTGTTGATCTTTAGCGGCTTTCAGAATCAAAAACGGAAAATGATGAGCGGTGCAAAGTCAACCTGCTTTCACGTGATGTACATGTATCGTAAATCACACGCATCATAGGTGAATCGATGATGACGAATTATACTCGGTGTTCACTTCTGAGAACTTCTTTTTTCAAATAAAGGCTAAAATAAGCGCTTTCACTGACTGGGCGACCAAATGTTCAATGATGTGTAACGTCAGATAAATATTCATGTGTGCTCCAAAGCCGCCCCTCTCAAGCACTCCGGGGACGTCCTGACAAAAGCGCTTGCTTCTCACACGAAACTTTTGAGACTGTTATGCCGTATCCGTTTATTTCTCCCTTTCTTGGTCCCAACACATAAATTTCTGAGGTATATTCAACACTTTTGTTGTCACCTCCTCCCCCCACCCCCCACCCCCCGGGGAAGAGATGCATAAAAGAGGAAAGATTATTCTCGGCCAGGCCTCAAACCCAGGCCTCATGTTTTGTGGTCAAGCACACTAACCAAAACACCTCCGTGACTTCTAGCAACTAGCAATCAAACCTTCAAAAGGATCTTTGAGCGAGCTCTTTCGAATTTGCCACCAAAACATGGATCACAACCTGTGTCGTAAATCGTACAGTATATTCTTTCTGTCGGCTTTGGAGTTTGAACTAATGTTGTTAGACTAAGCATATCTGAATGGGTAAATATCTTGTCAGACCGCCACGTGGGTGACATCTGACATCTGACACCTGACATCTTAGGTATTACTCCCCTAGGTTTAAGTTCCCCCGCAAGCAAATCATAATATAAGGTCGTTCGGCAAACGTCACGAAAAATCTCCGAAAATTCTTTCCAGAAAATTCGCCAAAATGTTTCAAAATATCACTTATTTTAAGACGATAAGCAACCGATTTAAAATCACAATTTTCCCTTGCGAGATTAAAAAAAGGGCTGTGCGAGAGACTATCTGGGGAAATAGGAAAGTACAAAACAACACTAATGACAATTTTATTATTTTCTCCAGAATAATTTATTCCTTGGAAAACATCACGAAATTTTTGCCATAGTAATTAACACGAGACTAAGCCAAAAAAGCTACAAAAATCTCTTTACTGGTAACCTTGGTTTTTCTGAATATCTTCATAACTTCAAAATATCCTAGAAGCCACTCAGCATCGCAGTGTTCATTCTTCTAAAAAGAAGCATGGTTGGGACATTTGCCTTTCTCGATGAAGAGTGGAAAATCTTAATTATTCGCCAACACATTAGAGCTTTCAGGTGTTTACTTTCTTTACTTACTTTTCCAAAAGGATGAATACTCATGCAGCAACTACTGTAACATCCTCAGAATGAGAGAATATTGTCGAAAACATCGCAAAAAATGGACGATTTTTCTAGTGGCCCTTATCGTCTATAAACCTCACCCTCCTGTACCCCTACCTCTGGCCTGATCCTTCCTTGATTAATTTTTACTTTTTGTGGTTTGCTCAGCCTGCATGGAAATTTTACCTCAATTTCGAGTTTTCACTCCACTTTAGATGGAAATAACCCCCCTTCGTTGCAGATTTAAAGAAAAATCAGGTGAATAAATACAAAACACATACTAAATATTCATTTGAGCTTTTAAAAGGTGAAATTTACGTTCCCGTAGATAACGACTGAAAAGACATTATGATAGCTATTTCACTGTGAATAAAGAAAACTGTAATTGCCACAACAAAAGGGTCGTGTCAATGGAAAATATATCCCAGCGAGCAATCTATTTCTGACGTAGAAAAGAGACGAAAAAACGAGACAAGCTAAATTAATAGACAAATTTCTCTCGCGTTGGCAACCATAAAGGGTTTCGAGTCTCTTGTCTTGTAATCGTATAACCAACAAATCAAAGGAAGCAATTAATTTGACGCTCATGAATCAAGCTTATTCAAGGAATATTGGTAAAAGTTGGCATCTGCATTAAGTAATTGAAAGTTCTAATCAAAGACAGATTCTAAAATACGTTCGTTACTTTTGTCAAATCACAACCATAGGTGTAAAATACCACTCGAAACTACGTCCTTTATTTATTCTTAAAAGCCCAGACTGACAATACAATGACCACAAGACCTTTTTACTCCCAAGATCTCATTTCAAATCTCCTTACAGTCTGTCATATAGTTATTTGGATGTTAGTTCGCAGAATTTGGTATTTGAGCAGTAACAATCCCCTACTTAATATTTTTCTTTATTTTACTTCTTTAGTTTACTTGTCTGCTTGAGATTGTATTGATATTGTAAGGAAAAATTCTGTCTTAATCACTTTTGGGAGAGAAAGGGTTGAAAAAACTTCAGAACCTTAAAAAACCGAGTGTATTGCAAAAAGTCGAATGCACTGTTGTAGTAGTTGGGTAGGAAGAAGTACACTAACGCTTCAAAATATTCCTTTGCCACTTCAACGGACAAAACGTTAGACTTTGACGTTTTATCGGCACGTAAGTGAATCCTGGACATAAATGTTCGCTTGAGTAGACAAACAACGAAGAGAACATAATAATGTAAAATAGAACACAGGTGGCTGAGAATCTTTAAGATTGACAGGGGTTGTAAATGAAGAACTTCGAGAGTGTAAGCTAAACTTTGAACGAAACCTTTAATAGCCGTGGTTTATCAACGGTGTCGTTCGGTTGTTGTTCTTGATAATTACAATGATGGAGGCGGTCATTGTTTTGTCGTTGTTTCTGTTAGGAACTAACGTGGTATTTACCTTCGTGAAAATTTTACAATATTTTTCATGTGCGCTGCTACACTCTTCCCCTCAGCGTGTACTCTGCACAGTATTTCCATGATAATGACTGTCATTGTTTGTCGACAGTCTTGATTAAACGACCAAACAAATTCGGGACCCTCGTATTTTAAACTAATGCAATAAAAAAAAGCAACAGATATTTGGAGTTTCATTTTGGTTTAACGCACCCTGTTACAGCACGACTGAAAAAGATCCTCCATTACGAAGTTGATTAGTACTCCATAGCAGCGGAAAATTTTAATTTACATAAACATGTTCTGGTGGCGAGACTTTCATAGACTCTCTTGCAAAAGGTAAAAGACTGTTTACTTGAAAGAAAGGATATTATTGTAAGCGGGGGTCCGCAGGAAAAATAATTATTCGTGGGAAATTATTTGTACGAAAACAATTCATGGCGTTGCGGGGGATGGCAATAATTTCTTGAGGTCTTCCAATCGAGGATTAAAAACTTCAATGACCGGCATATCCTAGACAAAAGTACAATCCCAATAATCAAAAGATTGCTTTGAAAGCCAAATGGGAAGATCTTTTTGCCATTTGAATAATAAAAAGCAAGTTTAAGGCCTAGAACTTGTGAACACTTGATCTCAGTTCGTGCGAATAATTTGTTTTTAATTTACGAAAAGTAAGTTGTTCAAGAGGAAATAAAAATTGCTGAACTTACATTGCAAATAAGTTCCTATAAAATGCGTTTTGAAATTACGTTAGTTTCTGTTTCTTAAACTGAACTTATAAATAGCAAAAAGGAAATCTTTTCAAGTTTCACCGTTTGCCACCGTGAATACAGTAGATTTATACTAGATAACTAAAATACAGAAATATCTCACCGATTTTTAACCCCCTTTTTTGCTCTTCCTTCCGTCGCAGCTTAAAATGGCGAGCACCTTTTATCGTGGTCAAAATTCACTTCAGGACATGCCTTTAACCCTAATCTGCTAACGAAGTGTAAAAAAAAACAGAGAAAAGTAAATTAATTCTGTGCCTCCCACCTGCCTCAACACAGGTTTCATTTTGTTTGCGATATAGTTTGTGATTCGCCAACAGTTTTCTTTTTATACGTTGACAATTTTACATAATTCCCTTAATTATAGATTCGCGGAAACCTTTGATATCCATCGCATTAGGATCGCGTAAGTACCACACCAGTAACTCTTGCAATGCAAACAAAGCGAAAATCAATACGATTTATAGTGGTTACCCGAGCTAAGACATTTATGACCTGTGCTCAATACAGCTTTTAGCTTCCTGTAATTAAACGAGTGTTTATGAAAACTCTTCCCACACAAATCAATTATTGTTGTAAGGATCTTCAGCCATCGACCCATGATTTAAAATTTGGTCCAATGAATATCACTCTCAACTCAATTTTCTGGCCAGCTTTTTAGAAAGGTTTTAAGGACGAAAAAACCCAAAGTGAATCTGTTTTATAGAGTGCTTAACTAAGCCAGTTGCCTCCTCAGGCAAACTTTTTTCTCAAATGTGATATTTAGCTTGGAAATGAAATATGACATATGACATGGGTGCTAGATTAGTTTTTAGATAATCTTAATATTTTCGATTAGTCACGGGCCGAAGGATCGATTATGAATCTGATAAACCAACGATTTCTGTCTTTTAATCAAACAGTACAGGAAATGTTCGGTTTGTTTCGTCTTAAAAATCAAACAAATCCAATATAACTCAATCAAATACCGCAAATTCGTAAACGAGAGGAAGACGTGAGACAAATGAAGAAAGTGAACAACGATCTTCGTCGAATCTTGCACGCAAGTATTCAGTGCATCTCCTTAACTTCGAAACCCATTTCAAGTTTTACTAGAGTCTTCAATAATATTTGACAAACAGTCCTCTGTTTCAAAAATGTTTTTAACTCGCTCAGAGTACTGAATTTTTGACAAACAATCCTCTGTTTCAAAAATGTTTTTACTCGCTCAGACCACCTTCTGTATATTTTGCTGAGATAAGGTAATGGTGCTGCACTCACTATATTATTACTAAACCTCATCCCTAGCACGTGAAAAAGCTTTGCGAACCCAGATGATTAGCTTTCAAATCACCGTCAAATCGACTCCTTTGTGATTGGTTTAAACAAAGGACCATGGTTATCTTCGGCACTTCCGAAGATGACCCGAATTCTTCCGAAAGCTTCCCGCGACCCATCGGGTTATTGAAAAAGTTTAGCATTATAGCATTTTCAAGTGTTTTCAAAAATCACCTTTTTGTCGACAATGACTCGATCTTCAGTGGAGCCGAGAGATTGGAAGGTCAGTTAAGATGTTTAGAAAGTATAACATTACCGAGGTTCTCCTTGAGATAACAGATCACACCTTTCGACTGAAGTGGGGATTTCAACCTCCTCTGAGCCCTTTCTAAAAATATATGTCCTAAAACAGGGAAGATTATGCGCATTACAAGCCTCTGACTTCACACTGTGTTCTCTGAAAGAAAGCCAGGGAAGTTGCGAAAACAAGAATCACACCACATTAAAAATGAACTAAAATTAGTCACTAAAGACAATGGTGGCAGGTTTAAATTCCCGTGATAAATAGAGACGTTTATCAGCTTAAGCAGCAGAAACTTCCACATGATCGCTTTTGGTTAATCTTTAGCTAAAAAATTACAGCTAAGAAATGTTGCAAAACGGAAAGTGAACTCAGTAACGCACAAAATTCGTGCGTTCTACGCCATCGATGCACTCGCACCAGCCATGAAGATGCTAGAATTCCCCACTGCACATAAATTTGTAGATAAGCCATCGATAAAACAGACAGGGAATTTTAAATACGCACAGAAACTCCAGTTTAACTCCAACCTAACACATTTCAATCCCATAATTGGATATCTTTGGCGTGTTCTCAAGCGACAAATAGGCTGTTAGATCGTTACTAATCCTCGGACATAATTTACGATAACTAACAGGTCAAAGATACCTAAAATATCTTGGCAGACTCGTGTTAAATTCATTCCAAATCAGTCAATCTATCTCTGTGTGCGTGCTTGTCCGGATGGTTGGAAGTTATGTTCTTCTACGAAGTGATACAAAACGGTTTTTTTTTAACCCTAATCTCTATTCTGATTGCTAATTTTCCTCTCTAACTGCCACACATTTCCTTGTTAAATGTTACAAGAATTTGATGTTAGATCAAAATAAAAACTTCTACCTGATACGTTTGAGCTTTCTCATTACCCTTTTGCTGGATAATGTATGGATATTACGAACAGAAGTTACTTGTTAATCGCTTCTGCGAATTAAAGGGTTGAATTACGATAAATACCGGTTAAAATCAATTCAAAGAGTTCAAGGAATATTTTTCGGTAGCAATAAGCAACAAGAAGTGTTGGCAATCTCTTTGGGAATTTCACAGGCTACTAATAAAAAGAAAAAACCTGCAAAAAAAAAACCTTTGACACTTCTTCGGTTTATCAAATTCCACCTGAACAAACCTTATTTATTTTCTCTACTTAAAACAAATGCCAGAGCATCGAGAGTGTGAGATAATTTAGGTGTCTTAGAGTAAAATAAATTTTTTGGCCTGCGCGCTTCTGGAGAGGCTATTGTTAACGTAAACTACAGTGAACTATAATCGTGACTCCATCATACAAACCTAGATCACGTCAAATACTGGTATTTTTTGACGCTAAAGTGCACGAAGAGCGACTGAAAATCACGAAAGGGAAACTGGCTTTGGTAGAGGAACAATAATCGCTTCGTTAGGCTCATTAAACCAAAGTGGATTAACAGCACCTATGGTTTGTTTCTGCCCTTTCCTGATAAGAGTCTTTTTTGGTCCAACTTTCCCCCGATGTTAAGAACGTCCTAACAAAGTGCCTTACCTAAGACATAAAACGATCAAGAAGCTCCATTTTAACCTCGTTTTTTCAGTTCGGTCTTCGATCGGTAGAGGATCGTGGGCTCATTTCCCCAGCAGCAGTTAGTTGAACTTCTGCGCATGTGCAAATGTTTAATGGCTAGGTGTCATGTCGGGCGGGTAGCGTGTTTCAGCCTGTCAGATCCAAGTAGTGTAACAGGAGTTCTAAACAAACATACAAGCCAGTGTTACACGCCGTTTTAGAGCTATATACCCTTTTTGAAAAAGCTCATGACGTAATGGTAAATTAATTATAGGATGCTCGCAAATAAATAAACTTTGTGTTCGAGAAGTCTCAAGTTTTCCTTCTAGCTCCTCGCGTTTTTTTCCATAAACAGATGTGCGTGGGAAATTGGTGCATGGCTGGCCAAAAATTGATCCTCTCACGCATGCCTGACGCACGACTGCTGTGTTGGCTGGTTATCAAGCCAATACTTGATGTTAAAGAAACGTAAAAAATTCTTCTCAATTATTTTTAACACCCTGAGAGTTGGTCCGGCCGGGGCTCAAACCCTCGACCTCCCGCACAACAGTCCAGCGCTCTATCCATTGAGCTAACCGGGAGGCGGTTAGCTCAATAATCAGCCAAAAGATAAAGCATATTTGTTCATTTTCCAACGAGCTGAAAACAAGAAATACCTGCATCTATTTGTATGCATAGAACAGCTCTAACCTGGGGTTTACAGACTACAGAGGTCGACCTTCTTTTCTTCAGGTCACTCTAAACTGTGAAGTAAAATTATTGCGAAAAATATAAACAAAAACTTCAAGAACTTTTTTAACGCTTTCAAAATAATCTCATGACCGTTCCAGTTTGTGTTCAATTAGTTTTTGAAACCCTACCATTTTCTTCAAAATTATCTTCTTTGATCTGGAAAACTCCCCCCTCCCCTCTCCCGCTAATGCCACGAAGGCCCTGGATCCAACGTTGTCATTTTGTCAGCGTGATCCAGAGTGCAAATTGCACAACTTATCTGTCACGCGATTTAGGTATGTTAAAAAAAACTAATTTCAAATTGCGTCAGCGAATGGGGGTAGTTTTTCCACTAATCTCTTGAATGCTGGCAATATAAAAAGGTAAAATAAGTAACGTTCACCCCACAACATGCAAGAAATTATAGAGGAATACACTCAGTCTATTTAGCTTCATTCGGCACATAACAAAGCTGACAAGTACCAAATCGACTTAATTCTAAGTTAACAATAATAGCGTATGGAAACTGAAAGAGTGGACGGAGAAGTTCAGCTCTTGCCTTAGATTCAACATTGATAATCTCGTACCAGATTTCACTTGAAGTTTCAAGCGTGCGTTTTGCAATGTCGTCTAAGTAATTAATAGAAATTAAACGGAGCAAAAACTAACCTTCCCGTGTCATAGATACAGGTGAGAATGCCTATTTTAAGCATATTCACAGACAGGTCATCAACTCTCTCCGAAGCTTCTCCGGTGCTGCCAGAGTTTTCATTTCTGGAGCTACATGTCGCTTGCGTTACTCTTGACACAATGTTCGCCATCTTGATTGCCGTGACTTCGAAAATTTCAAGCTTACCCGTGCCCGGTTACTCACGGTTTGATCGTTCCAAGAAGACTGGGAGTGAACATAAACTAAAATGGCGTATGACGAAATGATATCCTCTTTAATTCTTGCGAAAAAAAAATAATTTATAAAATTTAGAGGAACTTGTGACGTAATTTACGGTGGTTGTGGTACATTGGCCTCTGATTGATCGTTTCTTTCATCTGAAATACATTGGGACGTCTTTTAGTCCCAACTGAAGAGAAATGAGTCAAAATGGCGAAGGTCCTGACGAAGGTGATTCTTCATCTTCCAATTCCAAGAAAAGCGGATCGCCAAGTAAACCTCCAAGACCTCCACCTCCATCTAACTGCTCGAAATTGAAGCGTCCTCCAAGTATTCAACAGCATCTAGATGCTCTGCAGCCTTTAAAGGAAAATCGAGTTCGTTGGTTTGTAAAAGAAGACAAGAAATGGATCCCATTTAATGGCTGTGATTCCTTGGCTATTGAACGCAGCTATCGTCAAATCCTGGCTCTTGAGAGCCGAGTTGAGGACAGTTCAAAGATTCTTAATACTTCTACGATTTATGAAATGCCTACTGTTAAAGGTGGCTTGTATGAGGTGGATGTTGTTGCTAGGGAATGTAAACCTATATACTGGAAAGGTAGGTGAGGGCCATGAAAACAAATCAATAAATCAACTTCAACTTATAAATAAATGCAAAGAACGTTCTATTTTGAGGTTTAGATACATTAACATACAATGTATTTGATCATATTTATGGTTCTTTTCACAATTATAATGTATACTAAAGCCAAAGCCAGAGGTTTAAATGGCCCATTGTCAGCAGGACAGAGCTGAATAATGACTGAGATGCTACGTCTGAGGGTATGCGGTCAACAACGCGGGCTCAAGTGTCCTAGGTCTAAAGTTTAGCGAAATTAGCGGAAAATAATAAGGGCTGACTTTTAAAACCGAGGAACTCTGTTTTCGTCGAAGGCATTTTCCTTTATCCAAAGGTTTCAAGGAGAAAATTAATTTTTGAAAATTTTTAGGGGGTGTACCAAGTTTTTGGAAGTTGTTCTGTAAAAGAAAAGCAGCAAGGAAAATGACGCCTTGAAGCAACAGAATAGGAAATCAACCATGCGAACGACTCAAAATCCAAGTTTCCGCGGCAAAACCTAGCACGTGCGTATACGTTATTCAGCTCTGTCGGTCAGCAGAGGAAAAAAAAATAAGATATGTTTACATGGGAGAAAAACAATACTTTGAAGTAAATTTCAAGGACAGTGGGAAAACTTAAATTAAAATCTTGAATTTCACTATGTAGTCTTTTGACAAGAAACAAAGCAACAAGATGATAACATAGAACTAAGAATACTAATAATCACAATAAAAAGAACACGTAGTGAAATGTTGGCAATACATATATCTTATTGACCAAGCGTAAGGGCCGTACTGGGAGAATATCGGCCCGAGGTCTTGACAGTACGGACTGAGCGCAGCTCGGTCCATACAAAAAAGAGCGAGGGCCGATATTCTTCCAGTACGGTCCCGAGCAAGCTTGGTTAATAAGAGATTTATTAAATGACTGAAGTTCAAAGGGACACAAGTGCGGTATCATTCGGGACCATTCAGGACAGTGCCCGGTCCAATACTGAGAGAATATTGACCGGCAATAGAGCATTTTGATTGGTTGATTTTAGTTATTGGCCCTCTGACTGCCCGAATCGTGTAATAAAAAGTGATGCTGCTTATAAGTTACAGACAGCTTTGACAATAGCCTCAAATACTCAGAAAATTTGAGTCAAATTTCTTTTTCAAGTTGCTGATTGTGAGGATGACATTTATCTATAGGTAGAGGGATATTATATTGCTGGTGAAATTATGTTAAATTTTGGTTAAAATTCGACAAAAATTTGTTTTGTTGGTATAGATGACAGTCAGCCAGTGTGTCGAGGAACTTGGTTCACTGGGACCTCTTCGCTGGAAACTTGGCAGCCACTTAGTGAGGATGATAGTGAGCAGATTGAAGCATCGCACCAGACTATGCTAAGGGCTATGGTGAGTCAGTCAGCGGCTTTTGCTGTTTTTGTTGTTTTCGTCAGAGGACAGGTAGTTGCGGGATGACACTCTAATTTTCAAGAATTAAACATGACCCTTCTGCTATGTGACAAGTCTTGTGACCATTATATATGTGTTATCTTTGATACTGAGATTTTTTAATTGTTGGGTGCAACAGAAATTACCCAATTTCCAATTTTGGATCATTGCTCTACTGATATTTTTATCAAGAGGAAGAAAATTTTTATGTGATATATTGAAATCAAGCAACAGTTTGTGGAAAGATCTGATTATTCCATCAGTGGCTAGATCATGTCTTTTACTTTGTCTACTATTTGAATGATAATGATCACAAAATGTGTGAATTAAGTGTCTATAATTCACTGATAGAAAGAGCTTCATACTACTTGTATTAGTTACAAGAAATAAATTGCTATTAATTTTGAACCAATAAGACTTCTTACAGGGGTTAATATTCCAAAATTAATCTATTCAACCACAAATGATAGGAACTTGTGCAGTTTTTAAGGTGTCACTAGGTAAAGGACATGGTTGACTTAGGAAACACTTAATTATTACTTTTTCTTTAAGGGATTCCAACCTGGAATAACTGACAGTGATAAAGCAGTTTGTGAAAGCCAAGGTAAGATTAAACTTGAAAAAAATATTGTATACAGTGAGCCAGCTTGAAAATTAACACACTACAGCCAACTGTCCCATCAGATTGTCAAAGAGTTAATTGATAACTAATGAAAAGTCCTTGAGGCAATAGAAGACAGAGGTTTACTAATGCTTTGCTAGTCATATGCTTTGAACAAGTTTATTGTGTTTGTACACTCAGCTAAAAGAAAATTGATGTAGGTATTAAACATGCATACCAAATGCCCTTTCTCAGTCTCGCTTTGCTGGGGAAAAAATTTGGGTGTTTGTTGTTTCAATCACAACTCATTTATGTTTTGCTTCTTTGCTGGTATGATTGTAAGTGTTTCTTTGTTTTCTTGGTGACTATGTACAGGACTTAGCCGGCTCACTCTGAAAGGTTTTTACGTGGAATGGAATGACATCTCTGATGTGTGGTTGTACTGGAATGATGTCAAATCTAGAATAATTAGAAATGTTGGAGGAAAGATTGGATTCTCATCTGGTAAATAAACAAAGGTTGACAAAGAATGGGGTAGGATCCAATTCCAGGGAATGTATCATACTTTTATGAAAGAAAGGCAGCTAGTCTGCCAATTTAGCCTGCCTTTTTCACTTCATTTTTAGAAAGTCAGTGGCAGATCTTGAGGAAGGGGCCCAGGGGTGTTGGGACCCTTTTTATTTTGGGTATAAAAATGATACAGAAGGAGAAAAAGCAGGCAATTGTTCACACAAAAACCAAACCCAGAAACCACAAAAACCAAACCCCCTCTGCTTAGCTCAAAGTCTGGATCCACCACTGAAATATTTGAGGAAACATTTTGGGTGTAATCTGACGAAACATAATGGTGTGCATGACGATTACCTGGCTGATAACTATGTCATATATGTTTTCTTCTTTCGAAGTGATTGATGGTCCTGTTTTTTGGGGAGTGATTTCATGCTCTGGATGTGAGATTTCATGTTGTGATAAACTACTGTAGATGCACAAAGTAATATGAAAGAAGCAGTTACCCCAGTACATAGAGGGTTCAATCTCTCAAAGCACTAGGAGGGGGAGGGGTGGGTAAGGATCATTGTTGAGCTACAATTGTGGACAAGACACTGAACTCTGATTGAAAGCCTGATGTTACCAGAACTGCAAATGGTTCTGGACAAATGTAACAAGGACTCCTGAAATAATGCAGGAGAGAGGTGAGATCTGGAAAAGAGCAGCATCCTAGAGAGGGAGAGTATTAAGCAATGAATGTTTGATTTGTTACATCAGGCCCTGCAACACAGATTCACCGTGGATATCACACAGTTGCCAAACCTGGTGACAGACCTCCCGACATATCTCATTTGATTTTTGTGGTTCATGGAATTGGACAAGTAAGGGACAGGAGCAGTATTGTCAAGTGCTGTGTCAGCCTCCGTCAGTGTGCAGTAACAGTGATAGAGAAACTTTTTATGGATGATCCACCCGATCACCGAGTGGAGTTTATACCAGTGGAATGGAGATCATCACTGAAATTAGATGAAGGTAATAAATTCATATCTTGAGAGGTGATGTCACTGTGAGAGAAGAGTCAACTTAAACTCCCAGATCTGAATTTGAATTCTCTCCTCCAGCTGTTACACATTCCTTGTAATTTAGTTGCAAGAAAATGGTGTTAATCATTACCAGACAAGTCTAAGTATTGTGATTACCTCTTTTCTGGACAGTGTATGGATATTATAAGAGCAAGTTACATGCTAATCTCCTTTGGGAGTTACCGGTAAAGGTCATCACACTTGGGTTTAGGGGAAGAGAGGGGGGGGGGGAGCTTGATTTAGCCTGACACCCCAGAAAGTTCTTTTTTAGCCTAGAGTGGTAGAGCATTGGGACATAAGAGGGAAGATTTGCAGGGCCAGGAACCCATTGAGGAGACGGCATGGCTGAGTGGTTAGGGTGCTGGAATTGTAATCCGGTGTCCCGCGTTCAAGTCCTCCACCCTGCCACTCACTGGATGTGTTCTCGGTTGCCCCTAGTTCAACTCCTTGGCTACGCTCTGTAAATAGCCCACTGGTCTCCCTCCTGCTAGTGGGGATTTTTAAGCTCTTAGTTAGTCTACATTGTGGCTGAAAAGCCCCTAAGGGGGAGCTTCAATTAACGTATATTATTATTATTATTATTATTATTATTATTATTATTATTATTATTATTATTATTGTTGTTATGATTATTATGATTATTATTATGTTACTTCGCAGAATCATTGCGGTAACTCAAGTCACACCCACCAAATC